CGTTAGCGGCGAAGGCTGGGAGCCCGTCTGGGTCAGCGAAAACCTGGGTGTCATGAGCGTCCAGTTTATGCTGCCGAACCGCGACGACGCAGTTATCTGGCGAGGCGCAAAGAAGAATGGGCTCATTAAGAAGTTTCTGATGGATGTTACGTGGGGGGAGCTGGATTTCCTCATCGTTGATACGCCCCCTGGCACGTCTGATGAGCATCTTTCGGTGAATTCATTTCTGAAAGCCTCGGGGGTCGATGGTGCGGTGCTCGTGTCTACGCCTCAAGAAGTTGCGCTGCTGGATGTGCGCAAGGAGATTGATTTCTGTCGCAAGGCGGGCATACGCGTGCTGGGTATTGTGGAGAATATGAGCGGGTTTGTGTGTCCTGGGTGTAAGCATGAAAGTCAGATTTTCAGGGCGAGCACGGGCGGCGCGGAGCGGTTGGCGAAAGATGAGGGGATTCCGTACTTGGGGGCGGTGCCCTTAGATCCGAGGATTGGCATGGCGTGTGATTTTGGAGAGAGCTTTTTGACGGCGTACCCGGATAGTCCAGCGTGCAAGGCTATTCAGGAGGTGGTGAGGCGGGTAGGGGAGGAAATGGGATTGAGGAGGGATGAGGTGTTGCCCGTGGATGATGAGGAAGAGAAGGAGGCGTGAGGATATCCAGATATGATAGACGTATAGTAAACGTGTTTGATCAAGCAGATCATGGCTTCAAATGTGTCGATCCGGCCCAGCAGCAGTTGAACCGTGCAAAATGGCATCCGTGTGTGGCTGACGAAACAGTTCACGCAAGCATTGGATGATCACTACTTCACCCCAAACACGAGCATGTATACCGACTTGAACATGTAGGGTATAGCAAATACGACATGGGGCGTATTTTGTGCGTATAAGTAATTCTCCCTGCAGCAAGGGTGGCTGACAGGAGATTACAAGTGGATCTGCCAGCCACAAGACACAGCCACTCAAGCTGCGTCATTTGGATAGTAGCGCCATGCATGCATGGGTAGGAGGGAGCACTGAGCACAAGCACTTGCGTGAAAGGTGGTGGCTAGTTTCCTAGCGTGCACCCTCGAAGCTTGCTTTGGGGCAACCCAGGTCATGAGCTCATCGATGTCAGCCTCGCGCGAACTACTTGGACTTTTTGCGCTTTCCCGATTGTCTACTTTACAGCGAGAGAGTGAGGAGTCGAACAGGACAAGGGTATATGTGTGTGTGTGTGTGCATCCGGATGAGCACGGCAATGTTTCTGACCCTTTTCTTCCTTTCGTCCTTGGGATATCTTCATGTACTTAATGTAGCGTGTATATATATACTATATCTTGAAAGCAAAGACCCACTGAAAGTGCGCGCGCGCGTGTGCGATTCATCGCGGTTTGCGGTTGCAGGCACCACACCCTTATTCACCTTTTTGTGGCTCAGCTCGAACCAGGACTTTCACACACACACACACACACACACACACACACCCCCGGCTAGCGGCAAGTGTGCATCCCTGACCCGTCGTCCGTCCTGCTGTGGCCCATTCTCAATCACTGGCACAACACAGCTTTCTGGTCTTTCGAGTCCTTGAGGCTTGTATCCTTTTTTGGGCCCCCCCCAGCCTCTCTCTCTCTCCCTCTCTCTCTTCCTCCCTCCTCGTTTATACACACGCGTGTTTAAACTCTGTCACGCCATACAATACTTGCCCTTTTGTTTATCTACTACTAGTATTGTTTTGCTAAGAGGAGACGCCCCCTCCCCCCCGAACTCAATTGGACTCTCTACTGCGCAGGGCTTTCCGTGATAGTTCCCCTGTGTCGCGCGCATTACCCCATCTGTGCCAGAGCGTTTGCGGCTTACTAGAGTCTCTCAGCGCTATCGTAATTGTGAGTTTGCGCCAGACCTGAATTGAGCCCCTCTTGCTGACTGGAAGCCTCCAAGTGTAACGTCATCTTTCTTGTTTACGACGCGCCTAGCGTGAGCATTTGTCTCGCCTTGTATACGACTACTACTACTACTATTACGAGCCCTTAATCGCGACCGGATTTGCACCATGGCGACCGAGTACCAGCAACCTGTTTTCACGGCGTCCGCAGACGTCCAACCGCATACCGATCCTAGTGGTGTTCAAGGCATTGGCCAAGGTCCTCAAGTTGTCAGCACCTCGGATTCGCTGGATGTTGTGCTGGGGCCGCTGCTGAACTATAGGCGCACCAGCAATCAGCAGTCAGGACAGCCCATATGGCACGGCAGTGTGCTGGTTGTGACTAAGCCGGGGCAGCAGGATGCAAACGGAGTACACCCAAGCCCGCAGCTTACGCTGTCACCTGCTGGTGCTGTAGAAAGGTCGCTTGGCGATGTGAGGTTCAGCGTTGCGGAGAGGGTGTTTCACGGCCAGAAGCTGTATGAAGACTCCAAAAAGGCGTTTTGGCGCTTTCTCATCGAGGCGCCCATGCAGCCGTTTGAGTCAAGATGGAACTACGAGATCCAGAGCCTCAAGTACGTCGAGGGCAGAAAGGAGGAGAAGCCGACGAGATTTGTGATTCCCTCCATCTCTCAGTCTATGCGCATCATGTTCCACTCTTGCAATGGCTTTAGTGTTGGAACAGACTTGGATGTTTGGCAGGGACCTGTGCTTTGGCATGATGTCCTGCGCATGCACGACCAGCGACCTTTCCATGTCATGATTGGTGGTGGTGACCAGATCTACAATGATGGAGTGCGAGTAGATGGTCCACTTAAGCCATGGACTGACATCTCCAACCCCCACAAGCGACGCGAGTTTCCCTTTGACAGGCAGATGCGTGACGAGTGTGACGAGTACTATTACAACAACTATGTCCGGTGGTACGGCACGGCCCCCTTTTCCACTGCCAACAGCCAGATTCCTCAGGTCAACATCTGGGACGATCACGACATCATTGATGGATTCGGTTCCTACACCGATCACTTTATGAACTGCTCTGTTTTCCGCGGTATCGGAGGAGTCGCACACAAGTACTATCTTTTGTTCCAGCACCATCTTGCTCCTCCGCCAAGTACTTATACCACGGATGCTCCCCAGACGACGGCCGTACATGCTCAAGGAGAGAAGACGACGCCAGTAGATGAAGCCCAAGTCCAGGACACGTTTGTAATGACCAACGACGAAGGTGACCCATCGTACATTATTGGTTCTAAGCCTGGCCCGTATGTCGAGGAACGGAGCCGCAACATTTACTGCCAGCTAGGTGCACGAATCGCCTTTGCTGGTATCGATGCCCGAACGGAGCGCACAAGACACCAGGTCAACTACCCGGAGACGTACAAGCTGCTGTTTGATCGTTTGGATGCGGAGTTTACTGCCAACCCAGAACTCAAGCACATGATTTTGCTGCTCGGTGTTCCTATCGCATATCCCCGTTTGATCTGGCTTGAGAATATTCTGCAATCGCCTTTGATTGCGCCTATCAAGTTTTTGAACAAGCGCTTTGGCTTTGCTGGTGGTTTCTTCAACCAGTTTGACGGCAAGGTTGATTTGCTTGACGATCTTGACGACCATTACACTGCCCGCCAGCACAAGGAGGAGCGCAGACAGCTCATGCACAAGTTGCAGGCCTTTTCCCAAAAGTTCTCTGCCCGAGTCACTATTCTCGGAGGAGACGTCCATCTCGGAGCCATTGGCCGCTTCTACTCCAACGCCAAACAAGGCCTCCGCGCGGAAGAGGACTGGCGCTACATGCCCAACATCATCAGTTCGGCCATCACCAACAAGCCCCCACCCCAAGCCGTCGCCAACCTCCTCGCCAAACGTAACAAAATCCACCACCTCGACAAAGAAACCGACGAGACCCTCCTCGAAATCTTTGACCGCGACCCCGCCCTCCCCGACGGCGTCGTCGCCAATGGTACAAACGGCACAAACGGCACCACCGACTCCAATGGCATCAAACCCGAATCTAAAACCTCCGACTCAAACCACGCCACAATGCCATCGCGCAACTACGCTATCATCTGCGAATCCAGCATCCCGCCCGCCACTACGCTTTCCGCACCAGGTCCTCAACCCGGCGCCACACCCTCCGTCCACACAAACGGCGATGCAAAATCCACCATGAGTGAAGCCCCCGGCGCAAAAGACAATATGCGCCACCCCTTCCATCTCGGTGAGCATGGAGCAGGCACGCAGCACCCCGCGGCGAATGGAGTCCAGCCTTCGGGCCTGTGCGGACCGTATGGGCTTGATGTCACGCTTAGAGTAGAGATTAGCAATAAGGATCGAGAGGGGCGGACGGATGGGTATGGGTTTACGATTCCCGGGTTGGTGGTTAGTGAGGCTATGAAGACGAAGGGGAGGCATTGGTAGAGTTGAAGTGTAGGTGTTTGAGGGGGGGAAGGAGTAATATGGGGATGGGAAGAGGGAAGGAAAGATGTGTAAAGTGATTTTTGACTTTTTGACCTTTTTTTTTCGAGATTTTGTTTGGTGCGCCTGAGGTGGATAGTTACATACCCTTGGAAAACTAGTTGCGTGTTTTGCATATATGTTAATTCATGATTATTTTTTCTTGTTCTCATAGGTATGGTTAATGCGGATGTTGGTGAGTTGTCTATTACTAAGCTCGCATGCATGTGATTGACGTCTGACTATTTTTTCAAGAGAAACAAGAATCACCATCTTATCAAAGCTGTATATATATACATATACTCTAAATGTCATGATTTCATCTTTTGTCTGCTCGCTACAGAGCAAAATGCTGCCCTACGCATACACATATATATATACATGGATATTTGTTTGTTTTGCAAAGTTTTTGTTGAAAGAAAAAAAAAGAAAAGATCAAGGATCCGCCCCTTGCTTGGAAAAGAGAAAGACTGGGGGGGGGGGGAATATACGTTCGTCTGCCTTGTAAACCCGAAAGAAAAAGAAAAGGATGATCAAGAAAGAGATATGCATGATATAAACACCACAAACACAAACACAAACACGTTCGATCCAACATGAAAAAAACAACAACGGCAACAACAAGAAAGATGGAAACGAGGATTCTTACCACGAAAAGGAATGTCTCAACCCCACCTCCTCGCCTCCACCTTTCCTCAACGCCGCAAAAAGCGCAAGCAACTGCGCCGCCTCCATGGCACCGGCCTCCTGCCAGAACGTCGACGACGCCGTCTGCTGCATGGCAAGTTCATAGCACGTCTCGAGCAAGGCATTCGTCTGCTCGGGCGCATCCCTAATGCGGACTTTCATTGCAACCGCCATGGCGAGAAAGACGTGGAACCGCGCCATGGCCATGCTGACGGAAAGCTCGACGGCAGACGAGGGCTGGGCATTTGGGTACACGGCCTCGCAGAAGCGCGCGAATAGGTGCGGGGAGAGCGAGTACGCTTTGTAGTCGAGCGACTCGAGGTGGCGGATGAATTCGCTGGTGAGGGTTTCGGCTTCGAAACGTGAGGGTAAGGGGGTGGTGGCGATGGCGCGGCTACGATCTGTGTAGCTGGAGCGTGAAGATGCCGGGCCGGGGGATTCGGCGCGGCGGGCGGCGAAGATGCCCTGGCGTGGGAGACGAGGGGCTGGGGCGAGAGGGAGGAGGTCGTCGTCGATCTCAGGGATCGGGGACATGGTTTGATCGGTTGAGCCGGCGGAGAGGGAGGAGGTAGATGTTTTGCGGGAGTGAGTGGGGCGGGATGTGGGAGCGGAGGGTGGAGGGTGGAGTTGGGAGGGGGGCAGGTGAGGGTGTGCCATGAATTCCCAAGAGGGGGCCGTGTGCATTTCTCCGGATGGTAAGGGTGAGGTTGTTGTTATTGGGAGTTTGCCGGAGTAGGAGGAGGGCGTGGTGTAGTTGGAGAGGCTGCTGGCGCTGGTTGGTGGTGGCAGGCCCGAGGGCATGGAGTCGGGAGACGAGGCACGCGTGGTACCTAACCATAATGAAGGTACTGGTGAAGACGGCGAGGAGAGGTTGGGGAAAGGCTCACATTCGTCTATGGCGATTGAGGGCATGCTGCCGCTGCGTGCGGAGAAGGCGCCCAGGTCCAGGTCGTCGGCCGTGAATGTCGCGGGGATGCTGGTGTCGAGGTTCAGGTGGGATCCGGTGCTGCTGCCGCCCCCGACGGACCAGTCGAATGAGGTTGGGGTGCTGGCCATGAGGTTTTGGTCAATCGACTCCATGCCGTGCATGGGGGCGTTGACATGGCGGGCTAATTGGGCTTCAAGTTGATGAATTCGTCCTTCTAGAGCCTCTCGATGTTCACTTTTTTGTTTAAGACAAGGGTCAGCTTATTATCACGTAATTTGGTTCGCTGGCAGCATCCGTCTTCCTTTGTTTTTTTATGGGGGAACGTGTGGGGTAGACTGACGATGCCACGACCTCTTTAGGTTTCTGCGTTCTTATACACTGCACTGCAAAGCGTTTACACGTTGCGCATGGAGTCTCGCCGTCGCAACGGATCTTCCTCCTTCGGCAGCGCTCGCAGGCATTGGAGACAGATTTCCTCCTGGGCTGCCAGTCCTTTACGGCCGTGGGTGAGAAGCGCGCTGGACCTTCACCAGAAGGTAGTGAAGCTTTTCTTTCTCAGCATAGTCGTGATGAAGGAGGGTCGCCAAGCTTACTGAAGGGGCACATGCTGGTTGGGAGTTGTAGAGCGTTCCGCGTCGGATGACAGGACTTCCGGATGGATTTGATCAATTGCGGTGAATGAAGAGGCAATGATCATAAGACGGAGGCGTGAGTGGGAAGGGTACGACGGAGGACGAGATCTCGGGTTGTTTTACATCCCGCTGAGCGTAGCGATGACAGACAAGATGGCTTGACTAATCGTCTACACCTGCCGCCGTCGTGATCACAAGGGACAGATACGACACGGACTTCCGACAGTTGGGGCTTCATCCAGGGCTGTAACAGGACTGCAGCCGGCGTTGCGTGTCGCGGGTGCTGATAGGCCCCGGGCCTGCGACGGGCAGGGCTATGCGTTTCGCATCGACTTTCCCTCGGCCCGTCAACCTTCTAGAAAATGGGCCATGGGGGGTGGAGATTGCAGGGACGGGGACGCGGCCGCTCTCCGCGTCTGCAGCATAACTGTCGCATGTCGCCCTCACCTGCGCTCGTCGACAAATGCAAAAGGGCGGAATGGACGGTCGGTTCCTCCGCTGACTTGTCGCAACGCCCCTTCAGATCTGACCACGCCATCGATCCAAGCAAAGAGAGGAGAAGGGAACTGAGAGTGGCCAGTGTGGGCCCGCACGACGTTACTACTACAATTAACCTCCCGCCGCCGACCGTCTCGCCGCGCCCCTGACACTCTGCACAAGCGTTGCTACAACTGCCGAACACACAGCAAACTATCCTTCCGTGTCGCACCTCTTGGTCTGACACATTTGTACACGACTCAGCGCGCCCTCGCCCGTTCTTCACCGCGGCCAGCCGACCTTGTCTGCACAAGCCGCCCCGTCTATGTAGGCGCCGTTGCTGGCACAACCATCTGATCTGGCCCCCTCAAGTCTCCCTCATATATACTACACATCCTCCAGGAACGTGGCGCGAGTCACCCAATCCTCCAACTATACGCGACACAGTGGGCCGTTGGTGGATTGTACGCCCTTGCCAATGATTCCTCCGTCGTCAATCGCCCATCCTTCAGTGCCGACCCCGTGGTGGACATAGAAAAGCATGCCAGCGTCGTATTTCCTCTTGATCTGCACGAGCCTCGGGTAATTGGCGCCCCAGAAAGATTGCTGCCAGTTGGGCTCTGCAATATCAGCTTCATTGCCATACGCGCCGCCGTTTGGCGTAATATCTCGAAGCGGCGGCATCACGGTATTGGTAATCTTCTCCACGGTCGCTTGCCATCCCGCAGGCGTCTGGTCCGCAACCGGCGTGATAACGACCATCTGGCTCTCTTCGTTCCGGAACGCGGGGTTGGCAGAGTTTAGCGTCTTGTTCTCCTGCTCGGCTGGGCGCTGATGGTACATACTGACTACTGCTCCGTTATCTACGGCACGGCGGATGGTTGAAACAGTCTGATTGCGTATCTTGGAATCCCTCCAATTATCGGATGGTACCAAACGGTTCGCCGCGATGCCTCCGGCACCACCGATGACCCAGTCAAGGGGGGCAAACGTGGCCTGGTAAGCTGGGTAGAACCTGTCGTGGTAAGTTGTATTTGCTTTCACCTCAATGCCCAGCAAAGCGCACGTTTCGTAGAAAGGCTTTATCAACGCCTCGTACTCATCCACAGTTTTGTCGGTGGCGAAAAAAGGCCCCATAGACCATATGTAGGCGCCAGGCCCCACCGACAGGATCGTAAAGAAAGAGTAGGTTTTGGCCCTGTTGTAAGCCGGCATGCTGTCAAAGTAAAACCTAAAAGCTTCCCAAAACTTGTCACCACTAACAGTCTCGGATGTCGCGATGGTCCAGGTAGATGTGGTTACGGGGATCTTGCGATGAGCCTTGACCACAGCAGACGTAACGACGCCAAAGGTGCCACCGCCTCCACCTAGCAGGGCCCAATACAAATCGCTATTTACCTCCGGTGTCGCAGTAACGAAGCGCCCACTAGCCAGTACAACTTCAAGCGCGAGAACCTGATCAGAGCCAAGCCCGAAAAACTGCATCAACGGCGAATGTCCACCACCGGCCGAATAACCACCGGTGACACCAACTGTTGGACAGATACCAGCTACGGCAGACACACCATACTTGTCAGCGGCCTCATACAGCTCGAATCCTTGAACACCAGCACCGAGCTTAAAGATTGGCCCCTTGTATGTGGGGCTCGCATAGTCCTTGACATACTTAATTTCCTTCAGTCCATGAGTCCAGATACTGAGCGCACCTTTCCCGACCGAACGGCCGTTATAGTCATGACCGGTATTGCGAACAACTAGTCGGAGGTTCCGATTGCGAGCGAGGTTTATCGCCAGCTGGATCTGAGCAACGTTGCTGACTTTGACGGCATACTCTGCGTAGCCACCCTGGGTGCAGGTACCATTTGCGAAATCACCGGAGGCTGGGATTGGGCAAGTCATGCCATACCACAACGGATTCATCAGCGCACCATTGTCCTGGTAGCTAAGCACGTTAGTTGCGCCTCGTGACGATACTGGATATACACATACTAGATTTCCTCGGCATTCCAATCCTTAACGAGCTCAGCGCATCTCGCAGCATCGTAGTTGTTGTACTGTGATTGCCTGTAGCAAGGCGAGCCGATGGGGACGATCTTCTCCAAAGCGCCACCGAGAAGGAAATCAAACAAATTCCATTCAGCCTTGTTTGGGTACAAGGCATCGCCTGGCATTGTCTTGCAACGAGGAGCTTCACGGGCACGGCGGGCGCGTGCGGACAATCTATGGTTCAGGCTGTCTTCGAATTCGAAAAGCGAAGCGTATTCAGTATATTCGTCGTGCTCTTTGATCGCTGCAATGACATTGTCGGTCAATTGCACTTTCTCTGTCTCAAAGAGTGATAGGTTTGCAGGTGTGACATGGACATCGACTGTTTCTGCAGCGGGTGAAAGGGACACTCCGGCTGGGGCATTCTGTCCCGATGCCACCGCCGCATAGACTGCTGAGAGAGCAATAGACTTTGCCAGCATCTTGGGCAAGAACTGCTGGGACAGAGGAACGGCCGAGAGGAGTCAAAGAACGGACGGATCCCTGGTAATTATCTCCTTGCTGCTCTCAACATTTATATATACACCCTCGCCAACACCAATATGCCGGAGCGGAGGGACATGCTGTTTCCATCGACAATACTTTATTAATTGCTTGGTCCGATGCAGTTTGACAGCAGTAGTGCAACAATAGCTCGTAGCGGTTCGCCACCGTTGGGCAAAGGATCAAGGTGCCTTTCGTCTAGAACGCCATGGACGACCGGATAAGTAAACATCTGCCGGGAATACTGGACGCCTAGCACAGGGATGCACTTTGTCGACTTGCATCCTCTGCTGTCAACAGTTTCCACGTGTTGTTGACACGGTTTGCATTTTGGATCCTCCAGGATTGCAATGGTATGCTACTTATATAGTAGCCTTCCCCTAGATCATCCGTGCCCCATGTTTTACAAGAGAATTTTCGTTGGTTCGAGAGAAATGCAGTGTGCGCTACAAGAAGGTGCCTGTACCACAGTCTGGTTGACTGGAGTACTTTTCTTGTAGAACCACCTTAACGTAATAGGATTGTGGCCCGCTTTTCCAAGGCCCGCCATTCCGACCAAGATACTGCGTTCCGCGGGCATTCCGGGACCTCTTTTGAGGGCGACCAAAAGAAACTCGCTTAGCAGGGGTTCGCTTTCGTAGACATGGCTTAGTGCTGATGCGTTGACTGTGTATGAGTTAAGTAGCTCAACCTGGACACCATTTGTTATTCAAGTAAAGTTTGAATGCCAATCTGCAAACAGGTGAAGGCTGAACTTAAGACTTTGAGCGTATGCTAAGATGTAAAAGAAGAAGCATGGCAGTACAAAGGTGTACAGCATTTCGTTCTGCATACGTGGAGTTCTTTGGCAGGTTTGACTGGGGCCCAACGTACCTTCTGTTTAATGTTCAGTCAACGTCTCGAGGGAAACTTCAAACAGTTCAACTGACGACATCCTTAAGCATAAGTCTCATAGAGGTGGTTGTTGCCGAAGGAAGCATCCGACACTAGTGATGGTAACTCACGTTAATCGGCGGCATTCGGTGCCAGCTACTGCGTGTGGTCAGTGCGTGCAACAGTTCAGCCAATGCAACACCCCACCAAAATGCGTGCCCACCAAAAAATGAAGCTTTTGACCACCACCAAAACGATATTATCGCGAGATTTTTTGGTGGAGTACTCGTATGATCGT